CGCAGAGGCTGCGGGGAAACCAGCCAGGGACAGTAAACACCGAGTAAACACCGAGTAAACGAGGTGTCAGCACGGCTTGGGGAGCGCAGGACGGCGGGGAGGTGACGGCTGRGGTGGGCACCTGCTGGCACAGGTGGTGTCACTTGTGCCGTGACTCGGGTGCGAGCCCTTGGCTGAGCAGGGGCACGGCTGTTCTGCAGAAACGGCTCCAGACTCTGAAAACAGCGAGGATCACTGGGGTTCCGCCACTAAAACCATGGCACGAGGGTATCACTAACGCGACATCACAACCTCTGCCAGAATAACCAGCAGCGAATAAAAAAACCAGCAACATTTCATTTATTTATTTTATTATGCAATTATTTGTCCTTAAACAATAGCCGAGATTATTTCCCACTGTTACACCCTAATTTCCCTGCTCTCTCTGGCTGGCTGGCAGCACCCAGAGGTGGGTGCAGTGTTTGCCTGCAGAACATCTGTATCGTTTTAACTGGGATTTAGGTGAAGGAAACATTTCCCTGTGCTCAGTCCCACCCACAGCCACCTGCTGCCGTGGATAACAGGTAGGAATGGCACAGAACTGCCCGGCTCACTGCTTACCTCCCTCTCTACAGCAGCAGGATCATGCTGTGAATGGGAACAAACCCAGATTAGCCAGTGTTTCAAATCAACATAACCTCCCCATGCTCTGATTCTCCATTAAAAATAACTTTCTGAGGGGTTGTAGTTGTGGCTCTGGAGCAAGGATAWGCAGAAGCTGAAGCCCGTGACTCAGGAATTGAAGCGAAGGTCAGAGAACAGAGTTTTATGGGTTTCCTCCATGGCTGCAATACTACAAGCCATTACTCATCAGGAATTTGGCAGAGYAGTGGTGCCTAATATCATTAGATAATCCTAATGAATTCTTGTGTAATCAAATCTAATCTCTGGATGGGTTCAGCAGGCGGAGGCTGTGAGTGGCTGCAGCGGCTCGGAGGCAGTGACAGAAGGGCTGTCACCAGAGCCAGGGGCAGAGCTTTGCCTGCTGAGCACCTTGAGCAGCTCTGCAAACAGCGTGCCTTGAAATAGCTCCAGCACTGAGGGATAAATCCCAGCAGCAGTGGGGGAGAGCACGGGAACAGGCTGCCCAGGAGGGCGTGGAGTCTCCCCCTTGGAGACATTCCTCTCCAAAATGCCAAATACCAAAGGCCACATTTTCTCTTATGGGCTACTTTTGATTCTGGGTCTTGGTCAGCTCTGCAAAGGCTGAGSAGTTCATAGAATCAGAATYCCAGAATGGTTTGYRTTGCTCCAAATCTGGCCAGCTCCATCCAATCTAGCCTTAGACACTTCCAGGGATCAGGGCCCTGTGCCAGAGCCCCCCACCCTMACAGGGARCAACTTCTTCCTAAAATCCAATCCAAACCTATTCTCTGTCRGTTGGAATCCATTTCCYATTGTCCTGTCATTACMAGCACTTGCTACTGATGGYYCCTTATCAATTKTTGGGCCTTCAGTTAAAAATACTGACCAAGCTCTGTGAAGAACTTGCTGGATTTGAAGGCAAAGACGAGATAAGCATGAACATTTCCAATGGTGGAAAATGTTTCCATTTGTCTTTAGGAACTTGTCCAGGGATGCTGCTGCAGGCAGGGAGTTCATGGGGTTCCTATAACCTTAGAGCTTTAAGAAGAGGGGAAATAGTGGGGCAGTGGAAAAGGTGACCTTGGGAAGCAGCAGAGTTATTCCCTTCACGGAACTTTTCCCTGACAATGGGAAGTGCAGGAGGCAGCCCTGGGACAGGAGCAGAGTCCTGTTCACTCAGCAGCAATGAGGGCTGGGCTTGGAGCCCACACACCCCCAGAGGCTCCAAGGAATGAACTCAAGAATTCAGAGAGGAAATAGTGAAAAAACACTACTTGGTAGGTATCAGTTCAGCCCTGGGAGCCATAACATGAATGTTTGGCCCAATTTCACATGTGGGTTCAGTCACATGAAAACAACTTGTGAGGGATTTTTATTTTTTGCTATTGGAGTACTTTGTTCTTTTTCTCCCTGTTGTACCTTATTCTGCTCAACTCCTACTTTATTTTTAGCCATTATGAAAATTCAGCATTGATGAAAGACATTAAAACAAAGCTTGAAGTCTTTTATTGACTTTTTATTTCTATTGTCTTGTTTTATGCTGTCAAATTTGCAACTAACCGTTGCCTTCCCTGGGCTGTTTTGGAAACATTGCACCTCCACTCTGCAGGGTKGCTTTGCACAGGTTTTTGTCTCTGCCATTGGTTCAGCTGCAGCTCAACAGCCCTGGAAGGAAAATGAGAGCAGAAGATATTCCAGGATTCCGAGGATCAATCCATCTCCTCTTGCTCACACCTGGTGTTCACAATGAGGAGGATGATCCCAGGAGCTCCCTGTCCTTAGGGAGATCCATGCCAGCACTCAGGGATGAAAACCACTCCTGACAAATGCTGGGAACACCTCAGCTTCTCAGGGAACTGCTGGAAAATCTCTCATTGCCATCACATTTTGAGGATGGGTGTGAGGAAAGAGAAAAGCCAAARCTTGCCTGGCTGAGCACAAACTTATCCACACCAGCAAAAGTTCTCCAGAGCACCACACACGGGAAGTTGGATGTTGCTCAGAAGCAAACTTTAATTATTTCCTCCGTTCTCCAGGGAGGATAAGGAATATGAACCCTCCTGATGGAGTTACACAGATGATGCACACAAGAATTCTAGGAAAACGAGTGGGCAGGATACAGCAGAGAGCTGTCCCAGCTCGTTGGGAATCAGCTGATTTTCCTGAATCCCATCCTCACACAGCCAAAACCCCACAGCTTTAAAAAGGGGAGGTTGTGCTGGCAGATTGTTCTCAGTTCTAGGAGTCTGTAGAATTTGAATGCCCACATTGCACTCTCATTTCAGTGAATTGTGTTGGGAAAACTTTAGAAGAAGAAAAGAAGCTGGATTTAATTCTCATTTTCATACACGTTCATTCATTAACACAGGGCAAAGATCACTGTGTCAACACAARAGGAATATTTCCATTTTCTGACCCCAAAGCAGCAAGGGTTGGTGGYATAATTAAGTTTGCATTCATTCGTTTTCCTGCACTCTGGTGCTCTCCTGAAGACAGCACAGGGCAGAGGGGACTAATGATGGATAATTGGAATTCATCCCTGCGAGGCCTCCCAGCGCTGCCATTTTACACACAGTAAAATTTCATAGAGCAAACACAGCTGAGTGCAGCTCCTTCAGTACTCACACAAACCAAACAATTAAGCCCCTCCTTCACTCTGGTCAGCCTTCTTTTAGCTGCAACTATGAGCAAAAAATATATTGTGTATTTTGAATGAATATGCGCAGGATGAGTAAAGATTTCTCTCAGCATAGTGGAGCAACCAGATCCATTCTGTTGACAGTTCTGAACAGAAACTTAGACAGAAAGTAAAAATTTTACATGGCAGAGCACCAGAATCTTCAGCAATTACAGCAAACTGCAGGATAAATGAAGAACAATAGAATTTCCAGTTCCCTGATGGAGAGGGCACTGACAGTTCTGGGTAGAAGAGCTGAGTGCGAGGAGTACCAGGAAATACCACAACCTGGAAAGGGTCTGGAACCACATTCTTGGCACCCCTGATGAGGTRTTTGTGTGGATATTGGAGGTATTTCTATGGACTGGTGAGATTCCTGTGCGTATTTGAGATATTTTTGTGCATTGCTGAGTTTGTCTCAGTTTTCTCTGGACTGAAAAGGCCCTAAAATGACTTTCCTCATAAAAGCGCTGCTCTGAACCACTCATCATCCACAGGAGCTCTGCAGGTACCGGTGTGGGTGGGGACATGAGGGACAGGGAGGGACATGGGGGACAGTGATGGACACGGGGGAGAGGGAAGGACACGAGGGACAGTGATAGACATGAGGGACAGGGAAAGACATGAGGGACACGAGGGGACATGGAAGGACATGGAAGGACAGGGATGGACACGAGAGGGCAGGGAAAGACAGGAGGGACATGGGGACAGGGATGGACATGGGGGACAGGGAGGGACATGGGGGACAGTGATGGATACGGGGACAGGGATGGACATGAGGGACAGTGATGGATATGGGGGACAGGGAGGGACACGAGGGGACATGGAAAGACATGGAAGGACATGAGAAGACAGGGATGGACATGAGAGGACAGGGAAAGACAGGAGGGACATGGAAGGACATGGAGACAGGGAGGAACACGGGGGACAGTGATGGACACGAGGGGACATGGACATGGATGGACACGAGGGGACATGGAAGGACATGGAAGGACACGAGGAGACAGGGATGGACATGAGAGGACAGGGAAAGGCAGGAGGGACATGGAAGGACATGGGGACAGGGATGGACCTGGGAGACAGTGATGGACATGGGGACACTGATGGACATGAGAGGGCAGAGAAAGACAGGAGGGACATGGAAGAACGCAAAGGACAGTGATGGACACGAGGTGACATTCCCATCCCCGCCCCTCGGGTGCGGCGCGGCCCCTTTAAGACGCGCTGGTCACGTGACAGCGCCGTCACGTGGTCCTGCCGCCAATATGGCCGCGCCCACSCGGCCGTGCCGCTGCCTGCTCCCGCTGCTGCTGCTGGCTGTGGGAATGCGAATGGCGGCGGCCACCGGGGACACCGGGACACCTGAGACCGGGGACTGCGGCTGCAGCGCCAGCCGGGCTGCCGGCGACGGGCGGGAGGAGGCGGCGCGGCGCTACTCGGCGGAGGCAGCGAGCGGCGGGCGGAGCGGCGGGCACGGGCCGGTGAGCGGCGGGGCGGGTCCCGGTGCCCTGAGGGGACGGGCGGGTGAGCGGCGGGGCGGGTCCCGGTGCCCTGAGGGGACGGGCCGGGGAGCGGCGGGAGGGCCTCCGGTGCCCCGTGGGGACGGGGGAGCAGCTGGGAAATGCTGGAGAG